AAGCTCAGAAGAATGCAACTGTTTGTCTCCTACCCATGACCCGGAAGCCCCTCCCCATTAACGTTGTCCCTCTTTTGCTTCTAGTTGCCCCACCTTTCAGGACTGAGCCCGTGTTCATCTTACATGTGTTAACGGATGTCTCATGTCTCCCTACAATGTACTAAAAAAAACCATGCTGTTCTCTGACTACCTTGGGCATATGTGGTCAGGACTTCCTGAGGCTGTGTAACAGATGTGCGTCATCAGCCTGGGCAAAATAAACTTTCTAAAGTAACTGAGATGTGTTTCAAATTTTTAGGTTCACATTTTGGTAACCATAGATGGATTCTGATCTTTGACAAATCTCCTATTGGTGCTTGGTATTGGCATGTGCTAACTTCATGACTCATATCAATAGGATAATTTGCCGATGTCTGGGAGTACCCCCTCGAGAGAATCCCTGATCTCCCAAAATTTGGTCAAGATCTAAAGTTTATTTTGCTATACAATGTTCCCCCCAACACTTTTTGTTTGGTTTGGTTTGGTTTTTTTTGGAGTTTTACTTGCTTCCAACAAGGAAGGCAAGTTCTCCTGCTTCCATGATGATGGAAGACAGGCAACTCCTTTATGGAGTTTGAACTTGCTTCCTACAGAGAAGATGAGGTTTTTTTCTTGCTCTAGGATGGTAGAGAGCTGTTTTCAGCCTGTGACCCTTCCCTAGTGGGTAACTGAACTGGGGTTTTGTCTTGGCCAAAGTTAACAACCAGCTGGTCTTAATTTCTCCTTTTACCATCTGAGTGCTCAGTGATCATGTTGACCAACTCAACCTGACGTGGTCAAATCCAAGTGAGAATTCCAAATTGTGGGTAACAAGGCCCCTCTAATTTGTCTATAATTCCCTGCAGCTGCAAAGGGGGAAAAAAGAAAAAAACCCATGTGTTTGCCTTCTGTGTTTGCTTTTTGTCTTAAAAAATAATTGTTCTTCATTTGCTTTTCTTCCACCCTATTCCTCCTTCCCCCTTTGTCATCTGCAATACCAAAAAATCTAGAGTTGGTTTCTAATGACTTGAACCCCTTTAAAGAATTCAGAACAAAGGCAGGAGCCCTTTTGGGGTGTTCTGTTTTCTTCGTGGAGTTTCAGGAATCATGGGCAGATTCTTTGTAGGTCTAAAGCTCTGTTTTCTTGTATTGCATGACCTGACCGCTTTGGCTTTGAGGATACCAGAGATGACTTTGTATGGTGAGAGGATTTGTCCTTGGCATGTATAATGGCAGAAGAGTGCTACAAAGGTACATGTGGCTGAGTATGGTTTACAGGAAGTGGTCTTGGTTTTTTTTTTTTTTTTTTCTCTCTTTGGAAGTTGTTGCTTAAGGATCCTAATTCTAGTTCAGATATGCATTCTAAAGGGTCTTCTCTATTGCTTTCCTCCCAAAATTAATCTCGGTTTGGTTTGTCTGTGTGCATTTGCATGAGGAACAAAAGTGCTGTTTTCATAGATGAATGACTGAGTTTTTTAGCTCCAAGGAGAAAGGGCATCTGCTCCTCTCAGCCAAAAGGTGCCCCTGGGTGACTGGGGGGCCTCATGGGAGTGTCTAGGGGGTTGACCCCCCTGTGACATGCAGTGGCCCTTCAGGGAAATTCCCCCCAAAATTAATTTTAAAATAGCTCATCCAGGAGATGCATATAAAGGCTGATGACCCAGCATTTTGAGCCCTCTCTGAGGTCATAGACCTCTGGAGAGAGAAACTGAGACTCATAAGAGGGCGGAAATGACTCAGTGGTGACACACTGTGGAGTCCTGCCCACAAGCAGCAGGCATTGATCATCCACACAGAGACCCTAGGCCACAACTCAGTTCCTCCTTTTAAGAAAAAAAAGCAGGAAACAAATAATCTGAGGAGAAAACTCAGAGAATGATTCCCTTCTGAGCACTCCGTAGGTTTTACGGCATATCTATTTGCAAGAGTAAAATGGAAGTCATATAGCCTTTGTGCACATTTACATTAAGGAAAAAGAGCCCTAAGGTTGACCCAAAAACAACAGAGTTCCTATGTCCCCTTTTCCTCTATTTTCTTTTCTGCCTGCTTTAAATCTGCTATTACTTTTCTACTGTGATAAAAAGCCCTGTCTGCATCTAACAAGTCTTTTTTTGCAAGCCAGTGAACTTATATTAATC